ATGTTTTAGGATTGATGGAAATGCACTATTGATTGTAATAGTGGCTATACAAAGTATGTATCCCTCAAAATTCACTGAACTACACTAAAAGGGAAATTTCATTGTTATGTAAATTAAACTTCAATAAACTTTAACTTAAAAAATTATCTTATTTTATTTTAATTTTGACAGTCTCACTCTGTTGCCCAGGCTAGAGTGCAGAGATGAGATCTCGGCTCACTGCAACCTCTGCCTTCTGATTCAGCAAATTCTCCTGCCTCAGCCTTCCCAGTTGCAGGGATTACAGGTGTGTGTCACCACACCTGGCTAATTTTTGTATTTTTAGTAGTGATGGGGTTTTGCCATTTTGACCAGGCTGGTCTCAAACTTCTGACCTCAAGTGACCTGCCTGTTTCAGCCTCCCAAAGTGCTGGGATTATAGGCGTGAGCCACTGCACCACGCCAATAAACCTTAATTTTAATAAAATTATGATACAAGCCATACAATTGTATATTATCCATTCATTTTAAAAATCAAGTGAATCCAAGTATGCTGGTAATAGGATAATCTCTAACCTATATTCCTAGAAGTAAAAAGCAAGGTACATGATATACTTTGGGTATCTGCTGTCACTCAAATCTCATGTAGGAATGTAATCCCCAATGTTGGAGGTGGGGGCTGATGGAATTGGATAACAGGGGTGGATTTCTCATGAATGATTTGGCACCATTTCCTTGGTGCTGTCCTTGTGATAGTGAGTGAATTCTCACAATATCTGGTTCTTTAAAAGTGTGTGGCACCTCCCCTCTCTCACTTTCTCTAACAAGTGCCACATGACATGCCTGCTCTCCATTTGCTTTCTGCCATGATTGTAAGCTTTCTGATGCCTCCCTAGAAGGTAAGCAGATGTCGTCAGCACCATACTTCCTGTAAAGCCTGCAGAATTGTGAGCCAATTAAACCTCTTTTCTTTATAATTTACCCAGTCTCAGATATTTCTTTGTGGCAATGCAAGAATGGCCTAATACATAAAATTGGTACCAGGAGTAGAGTATTGCTAGAAAGACACCTGAAAATGTGAAAGTGACTTCGGAACTGGGTAATGGATTCAGGCTGGAAGAGTTTGGAGGGCTCACAAGAAGACAGGAAGATGAGGGCAAGTTTGGAACTGCTTAGAGACTGGTTAAATGGTTGTGACCAAAATGTTGATAGGGCTTTGAACAATGAACTCTAGGCCAACAAGGTCTCAGATTGAAATGAGGAACTCATTGGAAAATGGAGCAAAGGTCATAACATATTATGCCTTTGCAAAGAGTTTGGTTGGATTGTGCCCTTTCTCAAGGGATCTGTGGAAGTTTGAACTTGAGAGTGATGATTGCGTATCTGGCAGAAGAAATTTCTAAGCAGCAAAGCATTCAAGATTGCCTGCTCTTAACAGCTTACACTCAGATATGGATGCAAGTAAATGACTTAAAGTTGGAATTTATATTTAAAAGGGAAGCAGAGCATAAAAATTGGGAAAATTTGTAGCCTAGCCACGTGACAAAGAAAGAAAAAGCTTTTTCAGAAGAGGAATTCACGCAGGCAGTGGAGCAACCACTTGCTAGAGACATTTGCATAACTAAAAAAGACCTAAGTGCTAATATCTAAGACAATGGGGAAAAGGCCTCAAAGGTATTCTAGAGATTTATGAGGTAGCCCCTTCCATCATAATTCCTGAGGCCCAGGGGACAAAAATGATTTCTTGGGTCAGGCCCAGGGCCCCACTCCTGTGGAACCTCAGGACACTGCTCCCCACATCCTGGCCACTCCAGCTCTAGCGATGTCTCAAAAAGGACAAGGTACAGCTTGGGCTGCCACTTTGGAGAATGCAAGCTGTAAGCTTTGACAGCTTCCATGTGGTGTTAAGAGTGTACATAGTGCAAGAATGGTAGATTCTTGGCAGCGTTCACCTAGATTTCAGAGAATGTATGGAAAAGCCTGGCTGCCCAAGCAAAACCCTGCTGCAGGAGTGGAGCCTGACAGGGAACTTCTACTAGGACAGTGTGGAGGGGAAATGTGGTGTTGGAGCCCTCACAGGGTCCCCCACTAGGACTGTGAGAAGGGGGCCACTATCCCCTAGTCCCCAGAATGGTAGATCCACCAGCATTTTACACCCTGCACCTGAAAAAGCCTCAGGCACTCAATGCCAACCCAAGAGAGCAGCTGCAGGGGCTGCACCCTGCAAAGCCAGAGGGATGGAGCTGCCCAAGGTCTTGGGAGCCCACTTCTTGTCCCAGTGTGCCCTGAATGTGGGACATAGAGTCAAAGAAGATCATTTTGGAGCTTTAAGATTTAATGACTGCCCTGCTGGTTTTCAAACTTGCATGGGGCCTACAGCCTCTTTCTTCTGGCTGATTACCCCTTTTTGGAATGGGAATGTTTACCCAATGCCTATAATCCCATTGTATCTCAGAAGTAAGTAACTTGTTTTGATTTTACAGTCTCATAGGTGAAAGGAACTCATTTCCAGATAAGAATTCATGTTTTTTCATTTAAAAGTCAATTTTAGTTTTTATTATAACTCAAATTTTTTTTATATAACTCAAATTTAGATTTCAGTTAATGCTGGAATGAGTTAAGACTTTGGAGGGACTATTGAGAAGGGATGACCGTATGCTGAAATGTGAGAAGGACATGAGACTTGTGTGGGTCAGGGACAGAATGATATACCTTGAATATTTGTCCCTGCCCAAATCTGATGTTGAAATGTAATCCTCAGCCAGGCTCAGTGGCTCAAATCTGTAATCCCAGCACTTTGGGAAGCCAAGGTGGGCAGACTGCTTGAACCCAGGAGTTTGAGACCAGCCTGGACAACATAGCAAAACCCCACATCTACCAGAAATATAAAAATTAGCCGGGTATGGTTGTATGCACCTGGAGTCCCAACTACGTGGCAGGCTGAGGTGGGCTAATTGCTTGAGTCCAGAGGTCAAGGCCACAGCAAGCCGAGATTGCACCACTGCACTCCAGCCTGGGCAACAGAGCAAGACCCTGTCTCAAAAAAAGGGAGGGAGGAAGGGAGGGAGGAAGGAAGGAAGGAAGGAAGGGTGGGTGGGTGTAATCTCCAATGATGGAGGTGGGGCCTGGGAGGAAGGGAGGGAGGGAGGAAGGGAGGAAGGAAGGAAGGAAGGAAGGAAGGAAGGATGGAAGGATGGGTGGGTGTAATCTCCAATGACGGAGGTGGGGCCTGGGAGGGAGGGATAGAGGGATGGAGGGAGGGATGGAGGGAGGGAGGGAGGGAGGAAGGAAAGAAGGAAGGAAGGGTGGGTGGGTGTAATCTCCAATGACGGAGGTGGGACCTGGTGGTGGGTGACCGGATCATGGGAGCAGCTTCTCATGAATGGTTTAGCACCATCCTCTTGGTGCTGTTCTTGTGATAGTGAGTAAATTCTTGTGAGATCTGGCTATTTAAAAGTGGGTAGCATTTCCTCTCTTTCTTTCACTCACTTGCTCCTGCTTTTGCCATATAACGTGCCTGCTCCCCTTTGCCTTCTGCCATGATTTGAAGTTTCCTGAGGCCTCCCTGGAAGTGAGGCAGATGCCAGCACCATACTACCTGTAAAGCCTGATGAACCATAAGCCAATTAAACCTCTTTTCTTCATAATTTACCAGTCTCCAATATTTTTTCATAGAAATGCAAGAACAGCCTAATACGCAGTACAGAAGAGTAAATACAGTTATGTTCCCATTTATGGTAATGTCGGCTGTCTCTGGGGAAGGGGTCTGAAGTGGCAGTATATACCCTTATGAACTGTTTGAGGTGTTTTTTTTTTTTTTTTTTTTTTTTTTTAACTGCACGCCTGTATTACTTTCAATTAGAAAAAGTAAAAGAAACTTATATACTGGTCAAGGAAAATTCACAGGTGCCTGGGCCAAGAGACTGAGTTGCATAGGCTTACAAAAACCTGTGTAAGAACAGAGAACACAAAGCCAGACACAGGGTCACTCAATGAATAGCTGGAGGAAGCAAAATATTTGGAATCAATTCAGAAGGCAAAGCCTGGACAAAGAGATCTCTATCTCAGCACTGGATACTCAGCCAGCACAGCCCTTGCTTTACACAAGGAGCTAAGCTGAGACTGCGCATGTTAGAAAAGAAAGGGAGCATAAAAACCAAATACCCTGGATTTACTTTGGGGCCAGCTGTTCCTCAGCATTCCTTTGCAAGCACATTGTGTGTCCCAACCTCAGCCTTCTAAGGTTCAAGTCCTTCTCCCAGAGAACAGAGCCCACCCCTAGCACTCCTGTTGTGGTCCGAGTGCCCCGACAGTTCTGGGCAGCCTTTCCTCCAGCCCCTCCAAATCAGAAGGAACAAAGTGACCCTGACAGTTTCACTGCACTCCAAAGACAGTCTCAGCACTTCAGCTCCTTTTCCACACCAAGGCTTCAGAAAAGAAAACCAAAAAGGAGAAGGTGGATTGGTAAGCAAAATCCCTTAGCAGCATTTGGTAAAAGGAACTCCCTGGGTTATGCGCGGGTTCTTTCAGATGTCAGAGAAGCCAGCAGCTCGAGAATGCAAAATGGACAGAGAAGGAAAGTGCTAAAACTCAAGACAGCCTTGCAAGTTTCTCTTTGTTCCCTGCTTTATTTGGATATGCCTCCCTGAAGCCAGCTAGTTGGTCCCAGCTTCCAAAAAAGTTTGTTTGGCCACTGATACTAAGTCTAGGAGCTTCTGTGCTTGTCAGCCTTTTCTGGCCGCCTCTGGATACCTGGCTTGCATGGGGCAACCATGTAGGTTATCCTTCTGCAGAAATAGGCTGTGCCACCAAGTGCAAGCTCCAGAGGCATGATGGGAGTAAGGCAAAGCAAGGGCGTGGAGTAGGACTGGAGTAGGAAACAACTTGAAGGCAGAATCCTTTCCAGGAACCCACAGACTCCAGGGCATAGGAGAATATGACTGGCTGTGAGAAGCAGGGTTTCTGGCTTTTGGGCCCCACACCAGGCTGTCTAGTCAGCGGAAGGAAACAGGAGCACTTACCGGGGGAAGATGGCCGTCATCAAGGCTGAAGCATAGCCGGGCTTGCAAGCTCCCTCTGAAAAGTTTGCGTACTTAGTGGCTAATTCAGCAGGCCTATGGGAAGAGAAGGAAAGTTACAGCTTGCCAGGCACTGAGCACTGAGTGGGTTATTAATTCATGGGGAGCTGTAGGTGTTTAAACCTTGAATGAAGCTTCATTCTCTACAATAAACACTTCAGGCACTTTTCCACATTAAGGCTAAAAGGTAAAAGCAAGGTAAAAACAAAACAAATACCTAAACCCTAAAGGGATAGATAGATAAATAAGCCAGCCCCCTGGATGGAATCTGTAAAAGGAACTTAACTGGTTTCTTATAGTTGTTTTTCTTTTTTTTTTTTTTTTCTTTTTTTTTTAAAGAGACAGGGTTTCATTATGTTGCCCAGGCAGGTCTTGAACTCCTGAGTTCAAGCGATCCTTTCGCCTTGGCCTCCCAAAGCGTTGGGATTACAGGCATTGAGCTACTGTGTCCAGCTCATATTCATAGATTCTTTGCAGGAAACCTGATATCAAGGAAATGAGGAGCTCCATCAAGGCTCCAATACCTGGGGGAGTGGTGCTTGGAGTTCACAGAATAGAGCTACTCAGGCTTTGATAGTCAGAGGCCCTGGCCTTTTCACCTTCCTTGTATGTTCCTACATGGCCAGCCTCATCAGCTTTTATTTTCTCCACTCATGCTATGATCCACCCAGTGGGAACCATTACTGAATAGGGGGAACTGTCCTGCACAGTGACTGAATACAGAAGAAATAATTGTGTGTCATTGGGGCTACTGATGTACCATTAGACTTTTAGTTGAGGATGCTTTCCTGGTCTCTTTACCTGGAATAATATTCCTTGTCCTTCTTCACCTGGCTAATAAGTGTTGGTCCTTGATGACTCAGCTTAGATATCAGCTTCACTGGGAGTGATTCCCTGATGCTCGGATTGGGCTAAGTGCCTCCTCTGTGTTTGTACAGTCGTTGCCCCTGCCCCTCGCATCATATACTTACCCCCAGCACTTGCTATTCTGTAGTGTAATTTTTGGTAGTATGTCTCCCTTGACACACTGTAAACTCCTAAGGTCAGAGTCAGATTTAACCCTACCTACCTCCTCCAGTGCTTTGCACAGATGGGCACAGAGAAGACTCCTATAACTTTCTTATGGAACAAAATGACCTGACAGTCTCACTGCAGACAAGGCAATCTCAGGAACCCACAAGGCTGAGACTGCTGCATATTTTTCAGAAGACTTGTGTTCTAGTCCTGGCTTTGTTGCTGCGTGACCACAATCATGCCACCTCACATCTTTGGGTTTCAATGTCCTTATGCGTTTGACATGGGGCTGGAGTCACTGCCCTGCCACCAAAATCTCTGCACTAGGCAGTCTAGAGAAGATCACAACCAAAGAACAGGATATAGTCAGTGAATGGGTTCCGGGACTGCTGGGGCCGCAGGCCCTGCATGCTGGGGCACCTGAGAGAGCCCTGGCTGGCTGCCAGTTCTGAGTCCCCACCTCCTCTGTCCCCACCCTTGGGCCTGCTGCCAATACTCTGGTGCCCAGCTGCTCTACTGTGCTGGGGCCCTGTGGTAAGCCTACCCTCTGAGCTGCCTTCTGCAGGGCCTGGGCAGGGTGGGTGTGGGGTGGTGGTACCAGAAATGATGATGCCACTGCCTAGTGTGTGTCAGGTCTGATTCAGCCTAGACCCCTCGGGCCTAGCCCAGAGCCTTACATAGAGTAGCTGTTCACTGAATATAGACAAACTCATTTGTACCAATGCACAATTTCTTTAAAAAACTACATTTTTGGGCTGGGCGTGGTGGCTCACGCCTGTAATCTCAGCACTTTGGGTGGCCGAGGCAGGTAGAACACCTGAGGTCAGGAGTTCAAGGTCAGCCTGACTAACAGAGTGAAACCCCATCTCTACTAAAAATACAAAAAATTAGCTGGATGTGGTGGTAGGTGCCTGTAATCCCGGGCTACTAGGTAAGCTGAGGCAGGAGAATCGCTTGAACCGGAAGGCAGAGGTTGCAGTGAGCTGGGATTGCACCATTTTACTCCAGCCCGGGCAACAAGAGTGAAACTGTCTCAAAAAAAAAAAAAAAAAAGAAATCTGCATTTTCAAGCTTCCCCTACCAGTGAAATTCAAAGCCTGAAATGCAAACCTGAAGGCTGAGTGACAAGCTGAGGAGTTGGTACTTTATTTGGTAGGCAAAAGAAAGCCAAAGTTTTAGCATGAGAAAAACAATCTTTTCTTATGTAAACAACTGTATTTTGAAATGAAATATAAACCTCAGTGCACTTACTGAATTTACTAGAAGCTTTTTGGCTAGGCACAGTGATTAAAATGTTCTAGAGTTTTGTTTTTTCAATTAGTTCTCCCAACAACTCTGTGAGTTGGTGCTATGAATTAATTTACACACAAGGCCTAGACAGATGAAGAGACTTAATCCAAGATCATAGAAGTGGGAACACTGGATTTGAACCTAGGTCTCCAACATCAGTGTAGGAACTCTTAATAGGGCACTGCTATTAAGACATGGTCACAGAGGAAGGCACAGGACAGCACAGGAGTGGTCAACACAGTCAGAGACGGGGTTGAGAAGACAGTCCAGAAGGCCTCACGCATCTCTGGTCTGCGGCAATGGGGCATCCTGAGTCCCTTCATGTCCTGTCTCTAGTCCCTCACCATCTGCTTGCCTGCCTTGTGCTATGAGTTCCTATGGTCTTTCTGAATTCCAGAAAGTTTCACAAACAGCAGAAAGATGGACAGCAAGTGTCCTTCTTAACACAGTGCAGGACAGAAATAAATGCACAACAGACAAACCTTTGGCCACCTTTCTTCTCTCTAGTTTACCCCATCAACTTTTGGCAAGGTGCTTAAAGAATAAGGGCTGTGGGACAGTCCAGGGGGCACAGATCGTGTCATCTACAATGGGGATGAGGGAGCCAGGGCCCGGCAGGGAAGGCAGGAGATACTGCTCTTCCACAACAGTGCCAGGCAGTCCAATATCAAGGATGATGGGCTCCAAGTCAACTCCTCACTTAGAAAGCGACAGTAACTCCTACAATGTACAACTCTGGGTACAGTGGGTCATGTCATTACCAAATTAAAATGCCTTAGAAATGGCCTCCTGACTATCCCAGTGAGAGAAGAATAGGGGGAGTGTTGGGGATTCTGAGTCATCCAGCAGGCTGGGACCTCTGGGGCAGTTAGCGGTCAAAACCACCAAGATTAACGGTCGCCAACTCCCTGGGGCCAGAATAGTTAGTCTCTCTAAGGCACTCACACTCCAAATGCCAGCAGGCCCCCACAGATGTCTGATCAAATCACTCAGCCCTTGTTCTTCTCCTACTCTGCAGCTGCCTTTCATTTTCGGAGATTTCACATTAAACCCAGTAAGAGCACCCATTGTCCTGCAAACGTGACTACCAAGCCCCTGGGGTGAAGAGTGTCACCACTGCACTCACAAGAGGAAATCCAGATGGACAGGCTGCAGCACCAAAGAAGGAGCCAGACGCTTCCACTCTCCTGCTTCACTCAGGAGGATGAGTTTAAGGAATCAGGCCAAGCAATGGGTCATACATGGAAAAAGCATTAGATCCGGAATCAGAAACTTTCAGAGGACACTGACAAGCAAGTGATGGAAAATCTGATTTTCAGCTTCCCCATGTGCAGTGGAAACCACCTAATTCCAAGAATCCCACGAAGATGTGGTGAGGGAGCACATCTGGAGGGGATGGCTGTCCTCTGGGGTGCCACACACACGCTGCATGAGACATGTGGCTGCCAGGAGCGCCTGGCCTGGGTTCAGGTTCAATCACAGGGAAAGTCACCACGTGATATCCAGTGGGAGGGTGCCCTGGCTGATGTGTATGAGAAGCATCAGCATTTGGGAGATGAGGAGCAGCACTGCAGGAGGCTGAAAGGAGCAGAAGAGTGTGATGCTTCGGTGAAGGAAGGGGCTCAGGAAGGACACAGAGACCAACTGCGTCACACACTGTGTAGGCCCAGTAAGGTGTGGCCACAGGACTAACTGATGGATTCGGCAACAGGGAAGTCACCTCCGACCTCAACAACAGGCATTCCACTGGAATGTGGAGGTGAAACTCTTTTCAATGGGTTTAAGAGAAAACAGGAGGAGAGAAACTGAAGTCATGAAATACAGACTATTTTTAGGAGTTTTGCTATAAAGGAACAAAGAAATGCTGGAGCAATAGCTGGAGCAGGAAGCAAGGTAAAGTGTTTTTTGAGGTTAGGAACTATTTTCACAAGTTTACAAGCTGGTTAGAATAAAAGAAAAGTGGGCTGGGAGCAGTGGCTCATGCCTGTAATCCCAGCACTTTGGGAGGCCGAGGTGGGCAGATCACGAGGTTGGGAGTTTGAGACTAGCCTGAGAAATATCGTGAAACCCTGTCACTACTAAAAATACAAAAAAATTAGCCAGGCATCATGAGCTGAGATTGGGCCATTGCACTCCAGCCTGGGCAACAGAGCAAGACTCCCTATCAAAAAAAAAAAAAAAAAAAAAGAGAGAGAGAGAAAAGCTCCCAATAGAGACAGGACAGTTGTAGGGAGTATGTCTTTCCCCTCCCTCTGCCCCCAGATGGGGTCTCACTCTGTCACCCAGGCTGGAGTGCACTGTCTCGATCTTGGCTCACTGCAACCTCTGCCTCCCAGGTTCAGGTGATTCTCCTGCCTCACCCTCCCAAGTAGCTGGGCTTACCAGCACATGCCACCACGCTGGGCTAATTTTTGTATTTTTAGTAGAGATGAGGTTTCAGCATGTTGGCCAGGTTGGGGGAGAATGTCTTTGAGAAGGCAGAGGGGGAAAGGATCTAGCACAAAAGTGAAAGGGCTGGCCTTAGCTCTGTTCCCTTAGCCTGCCTTGGCCAGAGATGCCTATTCAATTTAAGCACCACTTCCCTTATGAACTTTCCATGATGCTTCCCTTCCCAGGTAGAACAAACCCATTCCCCTGTGGACCTGAGCTACCTAGGGCAGACCTTCATCTTTGCTTGCTCACTTGTTCCCCTACCCTACTCTCCTACTGCCTGCCCCTTTCTGCCTCTCATT